CGGCCTCCCAAAGTGCTGGGATTACAGGCTTGAGCCACCGCGCCCGGCCAGCATGGTGGCTCATGCCTGTAATTCCAGCACTTTGGGAGGCTGAGGCAGATCACTTGAGGTCAGGAGTTCAAGACCAGCCTGGCCAAGACGGTGAAACTCCATCTCAACTAAAAAGGCCAAAAAAAAAAAAAAAGAAAGAAAAAATTAGCTAGTCGTGGTGGAGTGCGCCTGTAATCCCAGCTACTTGGGAGGCTGAGGCAGGAGAATAGCTTGAACCAGGGAGGCAAAAGTTGCAGTGAGCAGAGATTATGCCGCTGCACTCCAGCCTGGGCAACAGATCGAACGTCCGTCTCAAAAAAAAAATACGTTGAGCTGAAGCAGAAGCCACTTGGTAAAACAGATACTAGGCTAGGAAAGAAGCAAGAAAACGTGTGCAGGCTGGCTGGGGGCAGGGACAGCAGTCAAACTTGTTTTTAAGCAATTAGTCAAAAATTCTCCTGGGGGTAACATTTCTGGTTTTCTTCTCCATACTCCATCCCCATGAATCTCATTCAGACTTTACTCATTCCACTGGACTCTGGGCCTCTCTCTACTCTCCAGCCTCCTCTTGCCCATTCGCATTTACCCTCCACCGCTGGGAGGATAGTGCATCAGGGAGGCAACCAGGACAGGGAGGCAAGCTGGCTCCCTAACACCCTCAGGGCAAAGTCTGACGCCTCATAGCCACGAGCCTCATAGCCGCGAGCCACCAGTGCACATGAGCCACCAGTGCACAGCTCGCTGCAAGCTTCTCCATGATTTACAGGCCTCTAGGCCTCAGGCCCACAAAACTACTTGTAATACCCAGAATGTGCCAGGCTCTTTTACCCCTAAACATCTACACAAGCTGGCCCAAGTTAATAACACTCTTCTCCCTCAATGTAACATAAATACTGCTTCCTCTACCTGGCAGGCTCTCCAAAATGTCTCCTTTGCCAGGAAGCTGAATGGATCCCTCTGTCTAAGGTCCCAATCTCAGCCCTCAACACTCTAAGCTTCCTGCATGATGGCCCTGACTACTCTGGGCTGTCACTGTCCTAAAGAACCGGGGTTCCGGACGGGCACGGTGGCTCACGCCTATAATCCCAGCACTTTGGGAGGCCGAGGCAGGTGGATCACAAGGTCAGGAGTTCGAGACCAGCGTAGCCAAGATGGTGAAACCCTGTCTCTGCTAAAAATACAAAAATTAGCCGGGCATGGTGGCAGGTGCCTGGAATCCCAGCTACTCAGGAGGCTGAGGCAGAGAACTGCTTGAATCTGGCAGGCAGAGGCTGCAGTGAGCTGAGATTGCCCCACTGCATTCCAGCCTGGGCAACAGAGCGACACTCCATCTCATCTTAAAAAAAAAAAAAAAAGAACCAGCGTTCTATGTCACCAGTGTGTCCCCAGCACTGCCCAATAATGGTTGGGCACCACATTCTAAAAGCATATGCAAAATTTACATTCCTGGTTTTATTTTTTTTCTTTTTTTTTTGAGAGTCTCTATCACCCAGGCTGGAGTACAGTGGTGCAGTCTCAGCTCACTGCAACCTCTGCTTCCCAGGGTTCAAGTGATTCTCCTGCCTCAGCCTCCCGAGTAGCTGGGACTATAGGTGTGCGCCGCCACACCCAGCTGATTTTTGTATTTTTAGTAGACACGGGGTTTCACCATCTTGGCCAGGCTGGTCTTGAACTCCTGACCTCACATGATCTGCCCACCTCAGCCTCCCAAAGTGCTGGGATGACAGGTGTGAGCCAGTGCCCCGGCTGCTGGTTTTGCCTTCTTCAAGAGCAACTTCACTGGTGACCTCAAACTGAATCCCAGTAAGCTCCTTCAGTTCTCCTGACAATTTTCTTGAAGTGATAAGAGCTAACATTTATCCAGCCCTTACTAGCTGCCAGTTACCATAAAAAAGAAATACTGCAAGGTTTAGCTAATTTAATCTCACCCAACATCCATGCAAAAAAGGTAGTATGATTTTGCTCAGTTTTTAGATGTAGAAAATGAGATTCAATAAAGGTGATAATTTACTTGAGAACGTGAGAGGGTCTTTCCGATTTCAATAACTGAGTTTTTTTTTTTTCTTCCTTTTTTCAGATAGGTTCTTGCTCTGCCCAGGCTGCAGTGCAGTGGTGCAATCATAGCTCACTGCAGCCTCAACCTCTCTAGCTCAAGCGATCCTCCCACCTCAGCCTCCTGAGTAGCTGGGACCACAGACATACCCCACCCATGCCCAGCCTTTTTTTTTTTTTTTGTAGAGACAAGGTCTCGTTTTGTGGCCCAGGCTGATCTTGAACTCCTGTGTTTAAGTGATCCTCCTGCCTCTGCCACCCAAAGTGTTAGGCTTACAGGCCTGAGCCACCACACCCGGCCAAAAATTGGGTTCTTAAGCAAAATTCTATACTGGTGGCTTCAACCACTTTACTTGCTATGTGACCCTGGGCAAGTCACATAACCCTGTCTCGGTTTCTTTTTCCTTTCTTTTTTGAGACGGAGTTTCGCTCTTGTTGCCCAGGCTGTAATGCAATGGTGTATCTCGGCTCACTGCAACCTCCGTCTCCCGGGTTCAAGCGATTCTCCTGCCTAAGCCTCCAGAGTAGCTGGGATTACAGGCATGCGCCACCACCACGCCTGGCTAATTTTGTATTTTCAGTAGAGACAGGGTTTCTCCATGTTGGTCAGACTGGTCTCGAACTCCCGACCTCAGGTGATCCGCCCGCGTCGGCCTCCTAAAGTGCTGGGATTACAGGGGTGAGCCACCGCGCCCTGCCTCAGTTTGTTAGTTGAGGAATGGGAATAACAACAGCCTTCTTCCTACAAGCTTGTTGTGAGAATTAAATGTAATCAAGATTTATATAAAGCACACAGACCAGCCCATGATACAGAGCGTTAGCCACCATTATGGCACATTTTCATTGTGAGCTGATCACTGAAAAAGCCGGTGACCAAGAAAGCCCCAGTCCTTGCCCTCACGGAGCTCAAAGGCCACTGGGAGGAGAGAGAGCCCCACGACAGCTCAGAGGAATCAGGGCGTGATGGGAGATGGCCTCAGCGTATGGGAAGTCAGCGGCAGCCACGTGAAGGGACAAGGGAAGGCTTCCTGGAGGAAGGGTCCTGTGACCTCAAACCTTGTAAGATGAGCAACAGTGACCAGGTTAAAGGGCAGAGTGTAAGATGAACTAATGGAGCGTTGAAGACAGGAAGTAGTTTGTGTAAAGGCCAAGGGGTTAACTCGAAGTTTGGCTGGAGGAAAGAGAAGCGGATGCAGGGGGTGGAAGAGGGACCAGCCCGTGCGGGACAGTCTGGAGTCCGGACTATCCCGAGAACTCACCATCCTTCTTGATCTTCTCATTGAGGTTGTTGATATAAATAGTGTGGTTAGGGCGGGTCTCGGGAACTGCCATGGAGTGAAGTGTTGAGGTAAGGCTTAAAGGAGGAAAAACGTGACTTTAGCCCTGGGTTTCGCCAAATCCTTTGTCCCACCGTTGGCTGCTCAAGGAGCTTCCTCCCAAAAGGAAGTCAGGTAAGGCGGGAGTAGGGGGAAGGACCGAGGGAAAGCGCGGGCAACAAAGCGTGCCTAGGACCCGCTTCTCCAGCCCGCGTGCAGAGGGAACTCTCGAGAGATTTACTACGACTTCCAGGATGCTCTACGCGACCCCGTGGGCGGAGCGCCCTAAATGGCGACTCCCATTGGCCCATGCATCCGAAGGGCCGTCCTGGAGAAAAACCCGGATGTGGGAGCCAGTATAGAAAAAAGAGGACAGGTCTTGGACAGCCTGGCCTCGAGCGGCAAGTTTCCTCAGACGGGCCCAGGAAGGCCCGGACGCCAAGCGTACCGCTCGCCCGCCGCCGACGGTCGTTTGCACCCGAGGTTACCTTCCGACAGGACCGCAGTTCTCTCAAGCGGCGCCTGCTACTTTCCTGAGACCAAACCACAAAGCTTTCTCTCCTGGCACCGCCCCTGCCTTTCTGCCAGGCAATCTCCGCGCGGAAACGCAGTAACTTGACCAATCAGAACAAGTCTCGTTTCTGGGCTCAGCTCTTGCCAATCAAAATGATATTTGAGTTCCCGCCTAGGTAGAAAAACCCCGCCCGACTCCCTGAAAGCCCACCTCCTTCCGTGACTCCCGGGTCTACGGACCAATCAGTGAAGGTCACTAGTATTTTGCCAATCGGTACGCGTCTGGCGCTGTGGTGTCTTCCGGAGGCAATCCTTTTTGAAGTCCCGCCTCTTCCCCCCAGAGGTGCGTTTTCTGTCACGTGATCGCCAAATGGGCGGGCACTGTTGCATGTGATACCACGTGATATGGAAAAAGCAGTGTGCGGGGGCCGCCATTTTCCGGGAGTGGGAGGTGTACCTTACTTCCTGACTCCCTTCCCTTTTCCACCGGTTATCACGGCGCCCACCGGCCTCTGATCTCTGAGTCTTCTCCAACCCACAGACGTTTTTGTTGCTCTGGTTCCGGGACCTTCTCCACAACTAGGCCATTTTTCCTGCCAGGTGTCCATTTTGACCTCTTGACCTCTGACTCAAAGGTCAGCCCAAAGGTTCCAAACTCGGGTCTGGGATGTGAGGGGGTAGTGAACTTAAGTTCTCCGAATCTTTAGCCCTGGGCTCCTAAGTCGCACCCTTAAGGCACCTCAGTTTAGGTCTGAGTCTTCATATCCCAAACTTACTCATGTGTTTCCACATCTAGCCCCAAAGAATGAGTTAACTCCTACTAACTGTCCACCTAAGACTCCCGAGGTAACCCAACCGGTACCACAGATCCGGTTCCGGATTTAAGGACCCCACCCTGTTAACTGTAAGGTGCCTTATGACTTGAGTCACCCTCACAATTCCTGCTCCCATGGTTTCAAATATTAGCTGTGGTCCTTTCACAGCCACTGCTCAGCCCCCAGATTCTGGAACTCAGCTCGTAAATTTTTAAAATTTCCATCCCTGAGACCGTTCTCTGTTGGAGGATCCTTCCCTCCCCGCCTTCTGAACCTCTCAGCCCCTCCTGTAGACCCCAAAATGACTTCTTCATGTTCTCCTCCCCTAAAGCCATCAATCCCTCCTCCAAGAACCCCTGTAACCCAAGCCAGCAGCATTCCATCTCCTCCTCTACCCCCAAGTCCCCTGGACTTTTTAGCTATACCATCCCCTCCCTGGAGTCAGCAGACCGCTGTTCCCCCACCGCCCCCACTGCCTCCTCCACCCGCTGCCACGGGGCCTGCTCCCCCTCATGTCTTCGGCCTGGAGAAGAGCCAGCTCCTGAAGGAGGCCTTGGAGAAGGCTGGCCCGGTCCCCAAGGGCAGAGAAGATGTGAAGAGGCTCCTGAAACTGCACAAGGACCGGTAGGGTCTCCATGCCCCACCCACCACCCAGGCTCTGCCCTAGTGGCTTCTCCACACATCACTTCAGCCATTTCCTTTTGGGGGGGGGGGCGGTTCCCGTGTCCTCATGATCAAACAGCCTGACTACTTAGGTCCCCCGCCTAGATCCCGTCCATGGTGGTGTGCCTCCAGCAATGAAAAAAGCTGTCCTCACAAGTGCCCAGTCCATGCTGGGTGCGTTGGCTCATGCCTGTAATCCCAGCACTTTGGGAAGCCGAGGCAGGTGGATCACCTGAGATCAGGAGTTGGAGACCTGCCTGACCAATATGGTGAAACCCCATCTCTACTAAAAATACAAAAATTAGCCGGGTGTGGTGTCATGCGACTGTAGTCCCAGCTACTTGGGAGACTGAGGCAGGAGAATCGCTTGAACCCCGGAGGCAGAGGTTACAGTGAGCCAAGATTGTGCCACTGCACTCCAGCCTGGAAGACAGAGCGATACTCTGTCTCAAAAAAAAAAAAAAAAAGCAAGTGCCCAGTCTAGTGGGGGAAACAGATCCCTCCACCCCTCCAGACAGTGACAACCCAGAGTGGACAGGGCTGTCATGACAAAGCCCAGAGGGGTGTATGACCCAGGCTGGGGAGTCAGGGGGAGCTTCTTGGAGAAGGGGAACCCTGAGTGCTGTTGAGCAAGTCGTGCAAATGCTGTGTGATGAGAGTAACCAGCTGTGCAGGGTCCTGGAGTGAAATGAGGACATGTTCTATTCAAGGAACTGCAAATATGTCCTTAACTTGCTAGGAAAAGTGGCAAACATGAGGCTGTGAAAGCGGCAGAGCCAGCCCACGCAGGACAGAGCAGGCTCTGCGAAGGGACTGGGACTTTCCTGAGGGCATGGGGGAGCCCTGGAGAGGCTCTGTGCAGGGAAGGAGGCGTCCTGTGGAAGTGGTACTTAGGAGCCTTGAGAAAACTGGGACATCCAGGGACCCAGGTTGTAGGGGAAAGGAGAGCGCCAGACCTGGGCTGGGGCTGTGAGGCTGAGGTTTAATGATTGCCTGGCTGAAAAGAGGGAGAAAAGACTTGCCCAGACTCACATTGAAACTCCAAGATCTCTAGACACGTTTTTGTTTTTTTTTTTAATGGGGTTTCTCTCTTTCATCCAGGCTGGAGTGAACTGGCGTCATCTCGGCTGACTGCAGCCTCTGCCTGCCCACCCCCGTTCTCCCCGTTCAAGCTATTCTCCTGCTTCAGCCTCCCGAGTAGCTAGGATTACAGGTGCCCACCACCACGCCCAGCTAATTTTTGTATTTTTAGTAGAAACAGGGTTTGTCATGTTGGCCAGGCTGGTCTCGAACTCCCCACCTCAGGTGATCCACCTGCCTCAGCCTCCCAAAGTGCTGAGATTACAGGCGTGAGCTACCGCACCCAGCCTGCGGACACATTTATAATCTTCTCTAAATGCCCACACTGAGATGAGGCAAATTTAATGCAAATTATAGCCACCCTTTACTGAGTGCCTACCCTATGTCAGGCGCTGTTCTAAATGTTTAAATATTAATTTATTGAATCCTCTCAACAACCCCATGAGGTAGAAACTGTTTTTGTCTCATATTCCTGATGAGAAAACTGAGGCTCATAGAAGTGAAGCCCTTTAGCTATAGTGCAAAAAAGAGGAAGAGTCCAATCTGAACTCTGGTGGCAGGGCTCCAGGCTGTTTGTTTGTTTGTTTGTTTGTTTGTTTTGGGGACAGGGTGTTGCTCTGTTGCCCAGGATGGAATGCAATAGCTGTATCACAACTCACTGCAACCTCAACCTCCCAGGCTCAAGTGATCCTCCCATCTCAGTCTCCAAAATATCTGGGACCACAGGTATGCACCACCATCCCCGGCTAATTTTTTGTACATATATATATTTTTTGTAGATATAGTCTCGCTGTGTTGCCCAGGCTGGGTCTTGAATTCTTAGGCCCAAGCAATCTTCTTGTCTTGGCCTCCCAAAGTGCTGGAAGTATAGGCGTGAGCCACTGCACCCAGCCTGGCTCCATGCTTCTTATTTTTTTTTATTTATTTAGAGACGGAGTTTCGCTCTTGTTGCCCAGGCTGGAGTGCAGTGGCATGATCTTGGCTCACTGCAACCTCCGCCTCCCGGGTTCAAGTGATTCTCCTGCCTCGGCCTCCTGAGTAGCTGGGATTGCAGGCACCCGCCACCATGCCTGGCTAATTTTTTGTGTTTTTAGTAGAGACGGGGTGGCGTCATGTTGGCTAGGCTGATCTCAAACTCCTGACCTCAGGTGATCCACCTGCTTCGGCCTCCCAAAGTGCTGGGATTACAGGCGTGAGCTGCCACGCCCATCCTCCATGCTTTTAATCATACTTATGTGGTATCATCTTTCATCGGGAGGGTACCCTAAACTGGGAACCACGAGCTCTGAGTCCATACCACCCCCACAACCGAACCGAACCTTGCCCTCTTACCAGCCTTGGGATAGGAATAATAAGCATGGGCCGGACACAGTGGCTCACACCTGTAATCCCAGGACTTTGGGAGGCCAAGGCAGGCAGATCACCTGAGGCCAGGAGTTCGAGACTAGCCTGGCCAACATTGCAAAACCCCATCTCTACTAAAAATACAAAAATTAGCCAGACATGGTGGCACACACTTGTAATCCTAGCTACTCAGGAGGCTGAAGCAGGAGAATTGCTTGAACCTGGGAGGTGGAGATGGCGGTGACCCAAGATCACACCACTGTACTCCAGCCCAGGCGACAGAGCAAGACTCCATCTCAAAAAAAAAAAGGAAGCCAGGCACGGTGGCTCATGCCTGTAATCC